AACGCAGAGAAACTAAAGCAGATACTTTAAAGCAACTGAGGCCAATAGAAGGGGACCAGGAACTAGAGAAAAGGTTAGTTCAAGAAGAATTAACTTGGAAGGTAACACATGCACAGGAAATCAATGCGAGTCAACTCCCTGTATAGCTGTCCTTATCTCAACTAGTAAAAACCTTTGGTCCTTCCTATTATTGCTTATACTCTCTCTTCAACAAAATTAGAGATAAGAGCAAAATAGTTTCTGCCAAGTAGCAAGGAGTAAGGGGGGATAAAGGAGGGAGCAGGGCGAGGGGAGAAATGACCTAAACATTGTATGCACATATGAGTTAAAAAAAAAAATTCTCCCTTTCCCACTTAAAGCAATTGCAAGAGGTTTCATCATTCTCTTTAGGTGTGAAATATTCATGGGACTTGCTCAGTAGGTATTTAGGTGCTAGTTCTGGAGTTGCAGAGAGAAACCCAGCTGAAGCTACATGGACATAATCAGAGTAGACTTGGTGATGGTATGGGTCAGGTGTTTCAGAAAGAATGCTCCAAATGAGAGGAGCCCTCCAAGGAGTCCAATAAGGGGCTTCTAGAGAGGCAGTCAGCATGTGAGTCTAGAGAGGGGTTCTGGGTAGCTTGACTATTATTTTTAAAATGTGTAACTATGATACCTGAACAGGTTTCATGGACTTCATTCATTATCAGTGTCATTGGTGATGGTAACAGTAACTCTTGTTATTGTTTGATGTTTTTTAGCTCACTAGTTTCTTCTGTGCATTTTGAAGGTCCTTACAATTCTGGTCAGAGCAGTGGTTAATGAGATGACTGATCGAAGTGGAGATGTCGTCTCTGGCCTCAGAGAAAAGCTGCAGGAGTTATTTGGCAGAGTAACTTCAAGAGTGACCAACGATGGAGAAATCTGGAGGCTGTATGCCCAGGTATATGGAAATGGACAGAGTGAAAAGCCTGATGAGAATGAAAAGGTAAGACCTTCTCCGAAGCTCGTGCCTTTGGTTCAACTGTGTGTAGTAGATCCGGTTTTTTGATGAGTGAAGGAAGGGTTTAATACTGTGAAAGATAAAATTAATATACTTAAATTCAATTTGATTCAGACTTTAACATTAGCACTTTGAGTTGGGGGCAGGTTAAGACTTTCATCTTTTTACTTTTTATGAATTTCTCTGATACTGTTCTTTTCTATTTCCTCCAAAAATGTTTCTGTCCTGCTACTCCTACTGGATCCCCAGCAACTAGCTGGCTCTTGTTTTTTTACTCTACACTCCCTTCTGCAGGCTCATTGCTAAAGACTAAGGTAGACTAGAACAAGGACAGAAAGAGTGTTTAGATCTGAGACACTATGAAAGGGAAAACTAGATAAGGAGATCGGAGCAGAGCTTTCAAAAGTCTAAACATACAGTGCTTTACAAAGGTTGCCCTGCCCCTTTCTCCAAGGGCATAGAAACACTAGTTACACTCCAGTTGTGCCCTCAGCCTCTTATCTTCAAGCCTAAAGGAGCTCCCAGACTTTCCAAGGTTGGAATAATTGTTTTGTGTTTCTTTTCAAAACATCCACAACAAATCAAATGTACTCCTTGCGTGGGTTTGGAATTAGCCACAGTACAGCTAATCTGTGGGATTCTTAGCCGTTGTCTCCTCCCTCAGTCCACACAGCTGGCTTCTACCATGGCCTTTCAGGCCGGAGAACACATATCACATGCACGCATGCACATACTCCTATTTTCTGTTCTTCCATTTCTTCTTGAATTATGTACTCTGTTGCAACTATGGAATTAAGAGAACTCTGATCTATAATTTTCCCTCAAGGATTTTCAGGGATATATGAAAGAGTTTTAAACTTCTCGGAGATTATACTCCTGGTAGTAATTCCACAGTTTTCACCAAGTTCATGACTCCTCTAAATGGGTCTCCTAAGCTGATGGCTACAAATGCTGAGGAAATATCTACATTTCTCATAGATTTCCAAGCCTGGCTTTTATGTTTTTCTGGTTACAGGAAAGTGTCTATTCAGATACATCCATTCATTTCTTATAATTATTTATTGCTATTGAGTGTGCATCTCTATCCCTTCTTTGATGAGAATTATAGAGACTCTGCAATATAACACAGATGCTGGTTTTTCAAGTTGGAATTAGTTCCATATGACTTCCAGGAAATAGACTTTGAAATGTGAATTCTACTTGTTATTCTGAATGTTGTTCTTTCTCTTTTCTTAGGCATTCCAGTATCTCTCGAAGGCATACAAGTGTGACACACAGTCCAGTTGTTGGGAGAAGGATATTACATCATTTAAGAAAGTCATTCAAAGAGCCTTAGGACTTGCACATGGTATTTGATACCCATGGCATATTTTAGTGTATTCTTTACTAATAAAGTAGAGTGATAGTCAAAAATAGAACTCCATTATAAATAATTATAGATTACTTCATTATATTAAAATTATTATACTTAATTCAGAAAATATTTGTAGGCCAGTTACTACATGGTAGACACTTTGGAGAATAAGAAGAAATGAAATAAGTGAAAGGGGTTAGAAACCTTTTTAGAGATGTGAAATGCCTTTACAACTGTGAGAAACCTTCACTCTACACAGTCTGTGTTGACTGTTCACTATTAAGGAATCTAACTTTTCTTTAAATCATATTCTTCTTTTTAAAAATAAAGAAATAAAAATATTTTAAAATAAAAATATTTATTAATGGGCTGGGATATAGCTCAATAGTAGAGTACTTACCTAAGCATGGGTAAGGCCCTGGGTCTGATCCCCAGCACTGGAAAAAAAAAATCATAAAAATACATAGATCTCTGGGGTACATGGCATATGCAAAGAGCTATGGCATATGTGAAAGGAATGCAAAATATAATCTAATTCCTATTTTGGGGAAATGCAAAGAGTACAATTTGAAGGAGAGTAACCTTATATATAAAATTGTCTGCTTATTGGGTAAATATAGTCCAGGTAAAGACTGCTTTTAATTATTTTCCTTAATGAAAAAAATACTAGTTGAATTTAGTAATGCATTTTTCTGTTTACATTTGAATATGGGTGTGTGATGACCTGAGAATATAGTTCCAATGAAATAATAAAGCCCCAGTGTTAAGAACTGAGTCACAGGGGCTATAAACCCTATCTTAAAGTCTTCCTCCTACTCTTTGCCTAACTTCTTCCTGCCACTATTAGTGACAGGAGCTAGCAAGAAACAATGGGAAGGGCAGACCTTTGGAATCAGGGACACTAGGGCTCCAGGACCAGCTGTACCATGTGCTTGCTGGGTGACATGGGGTCAATTATGTGACTTCTCTGAGTTTTAGTTAGTTGTAGGTAATTGGGATAAAACCTACCTGTGGTGTTAGGAAGAATAAATTGAATCATTTCAACACTTAGCAAGATTTTTACACACGGTTTACATGTTAATCCCTCACCCTTCTACCCCTACCCTGTTTCTTCTGAAGTAGAATATCTGAGCCATAAGATAAGGACTCAAAACTAAAAAGAGAAATGTGAAGAACAAGGATAAAATTTAACTTGCCTATAGTGAAGTCATAGAGCATTCAGACAGTTTAGAAATGGGCTTGGGAGTTAATAATTCTACTTTTGGCCTTTGATTTCTTTGACCAAAAGGATATAAATACCCAATTTCCTGGACCACCTCGCCATTGGCAGATAAGGTAGACGTGCTGAATCTATGGCTGAGTGTCTGTGTAGAAAGCTTGAAGGAATTCTATCACATCAGTGGAAGGATGTTTCAGGAGTGACTAGAATTCATGGGGCTTTTGCTAGCCTTATGGTGGGTGGGCTTGCAGGGGGATCAGTCCTTTGACCTTCGTGGATATAGTAGTATGGTAGGGGAAACATACACTAAGGTGTATTATGGATATAGTTAGCAGGGTGAGATTTGCTTTGAAGAATTCTTATCTACTTCAGCTTGCCTACTCTAAACATTTCTGTGAACCGCTGTCAAAGCCAAGATATTTTCTGTAATCATCAAGTGCTGGTATTAAACCTGTCAACTATAAATATGAGGACAGAGAAATACTCCAGGAGAAATCTTCATTTTGCAGCTTAAAATTAGTTTTAAACTGTTGTTGGCAGCACTTGGAGAAAAACAAGTATCTGTTCTTTGAAGTTTCACTTGGACTTCAATGGATTATGTGTTGGTGCTCCTCCATTTTAAGCATATTTCAGTGGTGCTCAGCTTTAGCTTCTAATGATACTTAAGATTTATAAAGATGAATTTTAGCCATGTCTTTGTTGCATTTAGATACCAGTGCTCAATCCTTACCCCTTGTTGGTTTGCTGATGTGAGAGTCATCATGCAGGTCAGCAAGCTTGAGGAGACATTGTAGTCCTGCCATAGTATTTGAGACCCATTTGTAACAGCACAGTCATTGTGTGTCCATTCACAGTGTCTAGAGGATATTCTTTACAGTTTCTGTGATGTTGTTTTCTGGGAAAGAGTGAGCTATAAAGCTCCTTTGTTCTATGTCATCTCGGAACTTCTGAAATAATATTTGTGCCTTTTACCTGCCGTTTTCAGGGAAGAGGCACTGCTTTCTTGGATTTTCTGTTGATTTGAAACAATAGGTTATTTCTTTCTCTCCCTCTCTATTTATCTCTGTCTTCATTGCTTTTTGGAAATGAAATTAAGGAAGGAACTAATAGAGTATATGTTTGTCTTTTTGCGCTATTCTCATTTTTCTCAGAATGAAAATAAATGGTTAAGAAAAGAATGACAACTGTTTTGGTATAAGCTACTAGGTATTAAGCAGCTTGAATACCTCTGTCATGGTCGTTACAAGTTTTCTCTAAGAGAAACAGACATCATAATCCTCACTATCTCTGTCAATTGAGCCCTCTGAAAATGAGTTTAACATTGCTAGTTAACATGTATTCTTTCGACCATTAGCTGGGAAGTACCAAAGTCTAATTATTATTCAAAATAGGAACATCAAACCCAATTATTTCTGACCATGAAAAATAGTATTAATTAATGACAAAATTATTCTGCCAGGCACAGGCAGCATCTTCCAATTGATTAGAGTTTGTAATGCAAAAAGAAATCTGTCTACCTTTTACAGTCTATGATCTAGAGCATGAAGTTGACTTCAGTTCTTGCACTGGTTAGTGTACTTTTAAAATAGGATCTTGTTATTGGTCTGTTTGAATTTAGTGAGCATAATTTCAGGAAATAAGAACAAATCAGTGGAAGAGTATCAGGCATATATTTATACGGAACTCTTTAGTTGTTCTCCTAAAGGATTAGCAGCGGGGCCTTCTGCCAGGGTGACTATGCCCCTTCTCGATTTGAAGTTAGGAGTATGAGCTCCCAGAATGCTGGCGGCATAGTGCTCTGTGGTGCGCGCTGTCCTCCCTTTCTTACACCAAGTGCAGCTCAGGAACCTGGGAGCGTGGTTATGGCCACAGTCCCCAAATGAAGACACATACATTGGTGGGGTCAGTTCTTCCAGAGTGGGCTATAAACTAGGAGGACGGAAATGCAGTGAGCATTGAACTTCACATATCTGCCATGCCACATCCTTGGGTTAGGGTCATCAGCAGCTGTGAGTCCCCATTAGGCCGTTGCTACCATGCAAAGCCACATTGAGATGTGTTGCATCTGTTTTTGTCCTCTCTGGGTACTTTGTTTTAAGTAATAATGCCTCTTCACCTAATTTCATGTGTGTGTGTGTGTGTGTGTGTGTGTGTGTGTGTGTGTGTGTGTCCTCTTCCTGGTGATCTATAATTCTCCTTAGCAGTAAACCTCTTTCATAAAGAAGGATAAAGGAGGACTGGGATGTAGCTCAGTAGTAGAGTATTTGCTTAATATGCATAAAACCCTGGGTTCAATCACCAATGCCCCTCCCTGCCCAAAAAAAGATAAAGGGAAGAGTTCTTTTTCTTTCTTTATTCATATGTTCATATCTGCATATATTGTTTGGGTCCTTTCTCCCTCTGTCCCCCTCTCCCTTCCTCTCCCCCCACCCTCCTTGCTTCCAGGCAGAACCTGTTCTGCCCTTTTTTTGTTGAAGAGAAGACATAAGCAATAATAAGAAAGACAAAGCATTTTTGCTAGTTGAGATAAGGATAGATATACAGAGAGATTCCTAGCATTGC